TATGAATGCCAGTTTGCAGTTAGTTGTGGGGGATTGCTCTCCACTGGATTCACCACCGACACCCTAGCATGAATAAATGTTTTTTTTATTGAGGATGACGACGACGATCAACGGCACAAAACATGCCTAAACAGTGCGAGAGAGCAGAGCAGAGCGAGAGAGAGAGACTGCCTGAATGACTGAGCGCATCCTCCATCAGTTTAAGTCATATTCATGAAATAAAATAATAATTAGTTTGCGATGTTCTAAGAGTAATGTTGTCGTAATATCCTAATATCTTTTCAATGTTTAAGGGTAACGTACTCCCTCATGACTGGTGTCAGTGCTATAAAGTGAAGCATCAGCTTCAGCTTTTTTCAATGTTTAAGGGTAACGTACTCCCTTATGACTGGTGTCAGTGCAATAAAGTGAAGCATCAGCTTCAGCTTTTCCCCCTGTCGTTTATTCCAAAGTCACTGATGTCACTGCAGCTGCTGGCAGTTCCACATAGCTCCACCCTTGCGCCATAGCTCGTGACCGGAAGAGTAGAGGAGTCGTTTTGAGGGGGAGGGAGGGCTAACGTTTTTGATTAAAGATTACGAGGGCACATGAATTAAAAAAATAATAATTAAGTGCACGGATAAATTATTTAGAATAAACACTACAGTATTCCATTAAAAAATAAGAATTTTCAATTTTGATTTCATGGTGACTTTAAGTTATCATGTGTCTGTTAAGTTGCGTTAGAATAAACGGTTAAAGTTGCGTGCAGTGTGTGTGTGTGTGTGTGTGTGTGTGTGTTGTGGCCGTGACAGTGGCCCGATCCAGACGCTGGCAGCCACTCAAAGCCAGGACAGACAGAACAGAACCACAGCTCCCGCTGCTGCTGCTGCTGCTGAATCTTGTGTTTTAGCAGACGGTGGGTTTATTTGTTATGGTCAGTCGAGTGTGTGTGTTTCTCAGGTCTCAGCAGTTTATAAAGGTGGGAGGAGCAGAAGTAAACTGGACAGGACAGCAGTTGAGCTGTGGGACGTGTTTGTGGAAACTTTCAACAGAACAACTGATGTTTGTTGATCTGGGAATGATTCTCAAACAGATGTTGTGCACTGCAGTTTTGGATTGAACTCTCTGTGGTTTCAAAACCATGCTTTTTTTGTTAACATGATTTGTTTATGTTAACTTGGCAGAAATCTGTTGTTTCATTTGTTGTTCATTCAGTTTGAATGCATTCATTCTCTCTCTGGACTCTAAATATGGCTCGAGTCCCTCCTTCAGTTAGCATTTTCATCTGTTTAATGGCTGCATGACTAATTTAAATAAAACCAAAATTACGATATAGCTTAGTGCTATTAGAAAATCACAAAGGCTGTGATTTAATTGAATAAATATATGCGCTGTGTCTTTAAGAGTTAAGCACAGCATTTTGTGTTCATTTACACGCGAGCAGCTCATGAGCTGGTGTTTTCAGCATCTTGGTTCACAGTAAATGCTTCTCTATGTGAACTTTATCTTCATCTGCATCCATTTGTGTTGCTTATAATGTGCATTTGAAAATGCAACATGCACCAAAAGTCTTTCCAAACTAGTAATGAGAAGCGCTTATAAATAAAAGAGAAGCTTTAATGTCCCTATGCGGTTTTCCATCAAAATTAAGTTTAAATGTTACATCAAAGTTTGATGTTTTAACATTTGAAAATGGAAAAAGACAGCCATAAATATTGTGTTGTAATTTTACAGTAATGTTAAATAAAATTATTGTTGTTATATTATTTTCTTAAATATTTTTTTTATTTTAATTTTAACTTTTTTGTTCAATAAAACCATATGATTACTTGCTTTTGATATTTTATTTGAACTAATTATTGCCTCATTGCTATTACATATGTATTTGAAGTCATTTTAAAGTCTATTGTTTGCTTAGGTCTGTTTTTATTAGCACAAAAAATCCAATTACTCGATTAATCGTCAGAATAATCGGCTGATTACTCGATTACCAATATAATCGTTACTGACAGCCCTAAAATTGTGCAACCCTACAAACAAGCACAGCAAACATTTTTTTCACATTTTAAATCACAATTGCAATTTTAATCAGACCAATCACAAATAGAGTTGTTTTCCCTAAAACCTGCCAGCAGGTGAGAACAGTGCATCTGATCGCTGAAGTACCAGCACACCTTTCTTTTACAAGACACATGCGCTGAGGAATTGCTCATGTCTTAGAGGTTACTTGTGGAGAATGAACTTTGCACTTTTTCTTTGCAGACGCTTCATCATCTCTTATATAATGGCATTAGGCGTGTGTGGTGTTTCTGTGGCACTTACGGGTCAGTGATGCTCGCTGACTGACGGCAGTTGAGTGAACTGGCAGGCAGGTGTCGTTCTCAGGGGCCGTTTACACGACAACGTTTTCAGCCAAAAACGGGAAACTTTTAATGCGTTTTACCTGTTCGTTTACACGACAACAGCGTTTTGGGGACTGAAAAC